AAAGCACCAGCACCCCTAGTTTTGTAAGTACTTTAGAACCATTTAGAACAATGGATTGCCCATGCCTAATGCATATGGAGGGCTGACTGTATTCATTTCCCATGAAATATAAATCAGCTGTACACCAACAGTCTCATGTAGTATTACACTAATCATCAAGATTAGCATTTCAAGGTCAATTGCACTACACAATTGATTTAATCTTTAGTTACCACAGAATTTCATCTTGAGTATAAACATTTTATGCTACCTGCATGTTTGTAGCGACATTTCTTAGAAAATATAAGCATCTTACTGGTTCTGTTTCACTTAAACACCTTGCTCGGTTGAATAAGCCTCACAGACATCAATTAGATAAACTTCTGAGTAAAAATACTATGACAGTGCTGTGAATTACATGATTTCATTAGATAATATCCACATTGATATAATCATATAATATTCCATTATCATAGTGTGACTAACTGCATTTATAGTTAGCGGAAACCAATGCTCGTCTACTAATTCCAGCCAAAATGTGTAGATTCCTATTCAGCAGATGTCCACACCTGACAACAAGGTCTGTCCAAAAGAGGAGCAAATTTCCTCAGAAGATGGTGGACTCTCCTTTGTCAGAAAGATTTAAACAAAGTTAAACAGCCAACTGCAAGGAATACCTGAGCTGTAGATTCATACAATTACTTGAGATTACTTTCAACATTGATTCCATGAAAGACATGTCAAGCCTAAATATCCTAAAGGCACCAGACCCATTTGATATTGAAAGCAAACAAGGCCAATACATGGATGGAAGACTGCCAATAAATATCAGGTGCTGTAGGTTATTTCAAAGGAAGAAACTGGCCAAACACTCTTTGAGTATTTCTTGCCTAAGGGCCCTTCCAGATAGGACCTATATACCAGGATCTATCCCAGGTTTTCTTCTCTAAACTGGATTATATGAGTACGCACTGTCAAATAATCTGGGATAAATAGAAAATCTGGGATCAGATCCTGGGATACAGGGCCCATCTGGAAGGGCCCACTGACAGTCCTATGAACTAGGTCATTGTATGTTGAAAGATGACTTGAAGGGGTGCTTGTTGTTGTTAATTGCCTTCAACTTCTGGGAACCCCATGAATGAGAAACCTCCAAGCCACATTATCATCAATAGCCCTGCTCAGGTCTTGCAGACTTAGGGCTCACTTGATTGAGTCCATCCATCTGTAGTACCAAGCAACACTGTTATTTTTAGTGAGTCATGTCTTCTCCTTATAGATTTTTTAGCTGTCCTTGGTACCCACAGAACTCTTCTCCTGCATCACATTTTAAACAAGTTAATGTTCTTCCTATCAGCTTCCTTCACTGTCCAGCTTTCACAACCATACATTCATCCCATTAATCTGTAGAGCAGCATTTCTCAACCTGGGGGTCGGGACCCTGAAGGGGTTGTGAGAGGGTTTCAGAGGGGTCACCAAAGACCATCAGATACATATATTTCTGATGGTCTTAGGAACCTCTTTGGCAGAGAAGGCTGAAGATCTCTCCACCTGTCCTTCTCTTCCTTTTTGGAAACAGAGGGTGAATCCTCCCCCAAAACCCCTCCTCTGCTGTGACTGACTGGCCTCTCAGCCAAGGAAAGAGCCATTTCTGAGACTACAAGCAGGGAGGGGTGCATGACAGCGTGGTGCCCATGTGCAGGAAAGGGAGAGAGAGTGAGGTTGGGGGAAGACTCGCACTAGCAAGTCCCTTGGAGGCAGGGGGATTCTGTGTGGGAGGTTTGGCCCAATTCTGTCGTTGGTGGGGTTCAAAATGCTCTTTGATTGTAAGTGAACTATAAATCCCAGCAAGTACAACTCCCAAGTGTCAAAATCTATTTTCCCCAAACTCAACCGGTATTCACATCTGGGCATATTGAGTATTTGTGCCAAGTTTGGTCCAAATCCATCATTGTTTGAGTCCACAGTGCTCTCTGGATGTAGGTGAACTACAACTCCAAAACTCAAGGTCAATGCCCACCAAACCCTTCCAGTATTTTCTGTTGGTCATGGGAGTTCTGTTTGCCAAGTTTGGTTCAATTTCTTCGTTGGTGGAGTTCAGAATGCTTTTTGATTGTAGGTTAACTATAAATGTATTATTTTATTTATTTCCAACATTTGTACCCCATCCTTCTCCATCCCCAAAGGGGGACTCAGGCTGGCTTACAACAGCAACAATTCGATGCCAACATATACAGAATACATACACAATTTAGCACAATATTACACATTAAATAAAACAATTAAGTTAAAATCCATTTTAAAAACGTTATTAACAACCATGTAGCCAAATCCAATCTAGAAAATTCCAGCAACTGCAACTCCCAAATGACAACATCAATTCCCCCCCACCCCCAAACCCCCAGTATTCAATTTTGGGCATATTGGGGATTTATGCCAAATTTGGTCCAGTGAATGAAAATACATCCTGCATATCAAATATTTACAATTCATAACAGTAGAAAATTACAGTTATGAAGTAGCAACGAAAATAATGTTATGGTTGGGGTTCACCACAACATGAGGAACTGTATTAACGGGTCACAGAATTAAGAAGGTTGAGAAACACTGCTATAAACTAAGTCCTCTATAATGTTTCAGTCACCAATTTGATAACCCACCTATGCTTAATACATGGAGAACACAGGGCTCCCATTACCTTCCCTCTGCCCTTCAACCTTCTCTCATTCAGAATCCAAAGCACAGCAGGTAAAAAGCAGAGAGCAGATGTTTTGCAGGAGGAGATACATTTGAGTTAGCTCAGAGAGACTGGGAGGGTGCAATCATCTGCTTCTAACAGCCAAGACAGGGGACACTCACCTAGAGGGAAACTCCTCCACCCAGCAGAGAACTAGCCTTTCCTTCCAGCCCCCCACTTTGGTGATGTCCAGAAGCCAAGTGCTGTCAGGACTCCTTATTCACAAGTTGTGTATCAACTGATTGCAGTATACATGGCTTGAAAATATTTCTTAAAATTCCAAAAGCAAACCTTGATTTTTTCCATTTTACATGAGGGGTAACATATGAGAACCCATGGATTTTGTTATCGCTGTGTTCCTGTACCTAAACCCTGGGGGATGGATAACAAGGACCCAGGGGAGAGCTACTGAAATGATCAAGGGTCTGGAGAACAAGACCTATGAGGACTGGCTTAAAAAGTTGGGCATGTCTAGCCTGCAGAAGAGAAGAGACATGATGAGAGTCATGTATAAATATGTGAGGAGAAGTCATAGGGAGGAGGGAGCAAGCCTGTTTTTCTGCTGCCCTGGAGACTAGAATGTAGAACAATGGCTTCAAATTACAGGAAATGAGATTCCACCTGAACACGAGGAAGAACTTACTGACTCAGAGTTGTTCAGCAGTGGAACTCTCTGCCCTGGAGTGTGATGAAAGCTCCTTCTTTGGAGGCTTTTAAGAAGAGGCTGGATGGCCATCTGTCAGGGGTGCTTTGAATGTGATTTTCCTGCTTCTTGGCAAGGAGTTTGACTGGATGGCTCACAAGGTCTCTTTCAACTCTATGATTCTGTTTTCAATAGCCAAGCCAGGGGACATTCACACTAGAGAATGAATCCACTTAAAATCCAGTTGCTGCCTCCTGCAGAAATATGGGGTTTGTAGTTTAGTGATGCTGTTAAAGACTCCTCACTAAACTACAAACCCCAGAATTCTGCAAGAGACAGCAACAGGATTTAAAGTGGATTCATTCTGTAGTGCAGTGGTTCTCAACCTTCCTAATGCCATGACCCCTTAATACAGTTCCTCATGTTGTGGTGACTGCCAACCATAAAAGTATTTTCGCTGCTCCTTCATAACTGTAATTTTGCTACGGTTTAGTTTTGGAGTACACTTACATCCAGAGAACACTGTGGACTCAAACAATGATAGATTTAGACCAAACTCGGCATGAATATTCAATATGCCCAAATGTGATCATTGGTGGAGTTTGGGGGAATAGACCTTAACATTTGGGAGTTTTAGTTGCTGGGATTTATAGTTCACCTACAATCAAAGAGCATACTGAACCCTGCCAATGATAGAATTGGGCCGAACTCCCACACAGAATCCCCATAACCAACAGGAAATATTGTGTTTCCGATGGTTTTTTGCAACCCTTCTGAAACCCCCCTGATGAACCCCCCAGGGATCCCGTCCCCCAGGTTGAGAAACACTGCTCTACTGTGATGAGGACCATGGAGGGAAGTTCCTCCAGGTAGCAGAGAACTCGCCTCTCCTTCCAGCCTCCCACTTTGGTGATGATGCCCAGCAGCCAAGTGCGGTCAATACTTCATATTCACAAGTTGTGTATCAACAGATTCAAGCAAACAATTTTCTTAAAATTCCAAAAGCAAACCTTGATTTTTGCCATTTTATGTGAGGGATACCTTATAATGTATATAGTGGGATCTTGAACACCTATGGATTTTGGTATCCGCGGTGTTCTTCTACCTAAACCCCGGGGAATGGCTACCAAGGACCCAGGGTCCTCACCACGACCTTAGTCAGGTCCTTGGTTATCCGAATGGCACTCTCTTTTCTTTCAGACCGGAATCTCCAAAAGCGAAGTTCGCTTCGGGAGGCGATGAGCAGCCAACTGCCCTACTTCTCTCTCGCCAGCCTCGTCCGACTGGGAGGCTTGAGCCACACTTTCCAAGCGGGGGAGCCTCTGCTTTGGCTGCATCCTGACCCCTTTCCCTCCCGGCCCCGCTCCTCCTTTCCTTGGCTTCCAAGGGAAGAAAAAAACAGAAGGAAGGGAGCGATAACATGGAAGCGCCGCCGACCGACACGTCCGCTGCCTTTGCAGCAGGTCTAAGCAGCAGATCGGGGAGGGAGGCAAAGGCGAAGGAGCCCAGGGACCAGCTCGGCTACCTCTCCACTCCTCTCCTCTCCTTCCCTTCCCTCCGAAAGCCTTCTCCAGCCATCAGCTCAGGGGCTGGCTAGCAGAAGGAGAGGCTCGCCTGGAGTCCCTTCGTGGCGTCCCTTACCTGCTGGCGGCTTCTCTGCCCAGTTTCGGCTGCTCCCGGCGGAGCTCAGCGTGCCTCCTTCCTCCAGCGCTGCAGGCTGAGCAGAGCTACCTCCAGAGGCAAACAAGAGCCCGGCTTCCTCCACTCGCTGCTGCCAATGGGGCTGACCAGCTACCCATCAGCGCCCCCTGCTGGTCTGCGTCGGGAAGGAGAAAGGGAGCATCTACACTGCAGAATGAATGAACGCACTTTGACACCGCTTGAAGGGCCACAGCTCAATGCTATGGAATCCTAGCAGCTGTAGTGAGGCAAGGCACCAGCAGCCTTTAGCCCAAAAGGCTCAAGACTTTGTAACATGACAACTCTTATGATTCCATAGCATGGAGGTTGCCTCTGAAGACTGTTCGGAAACTCCAACTAGTCCAACACTCGGCAGCCAGGTTGCTCACAGGAGCGGGGTACAGGGAGCACACAACCCCCCTGCTACACCAGCTCCACTGGCTGCCAATTAGCTTCCGAGCACAATTCAAAGTGCTGGCTTTAACCTACAAAACCCTACACAGCTCGAGCCCGGTTTACATGTCCAAACGTATCTTCCCCTATAAACCATCAAGGACTTTAAGATCTTCCAGAGAGCCCCTGCTCTCGGTCGCACCATCTTCACAGGTGCATTTGGTGGGGATGAGAGACAGGGCCTTCTCCGTGGTGGCCCCCCGGCTGTGGAAATGGAACTCTCTCCCCGGTGAGATTAGGTCTGCCCCCTCTCTCCTGTCATTCAGGAAGCAGCTAAAATCCTGGCTTTGGAGTCAGGCATTTACAGATTGATGGATGATTTGATATAGACTTAAGAGTTATTTGGCCACAATGTTTTGGACTAAGTTGGATGTTGTTTTTAATGTGATGAATTGGGGTTTTTTTTTTGTTGTATTTTAGAACTTATTTATTGTATGTGATTTTATGACATTATTTATTGTATAGCATTGAATTTTGCTGTTAGCCGTTCTGAGTCCCTCCACGGAGGTAGAGAAGAACAGGACACAAAAATTCTTTTTTTTTTTGTTGTGTCAGGAGCAGGAGCATCCTGTTGTGAGAGAATTGGCCGTCTGCAAGGACGTTGCCCAGGGGACGCCAGATGATTTTTGATGTTTTATCATCCTTGTGGGAGGCTTCTCTCATGTCCCCGCATGAGGAGCTGGAGCTGATCATCCGCCTCTCCCCGGATTCGAACCTGCAACCTGTTGGTCTTCAGTCCTGCCGGCACAGGGCTTTAACCCACTGTGCCACCAGGGGCTCAACATTCTAAATAAATAAATAATAAATAAACAGCATGGTGTCAAAGGGCATGAGTTCTACAGTGTAGATCAGGCATGGACAAACTTTGGCCCTCCAGGTGTTTTGGACCAACTCCCACAATTGTGGCATCTGAAGCCCAAAATACCTGGAGGGCCAAAGTTTATTTATTTATCGTGTCAGAAGCAAATTGAAAATACAGTTATAATGTACAAAAAGCAAAGAACACAAAGTTAAAAACTTGGCATTATACTAAATGTCCTTTGACCAGAAGCGGGCCACCTGGACTGCCTTTGGTGTCGCTGTGAGAAGTTCCTCCACTGTGCATGTGGCAGGGCTCTGGTTGCATTGCAGTAGGTGGTCTGTGGTTTGCTCTTCTCCGCACTCACATGCCATGGACTGAAGGCTAGAAAACATCTCACCACAGTTTACCCATGGCTGAGGTAGATGGACCTTAAGCCTCCTGCAGATAGGAAAGGTCCATGTGGCGGCATCAAGTGGAGGACGCTGAAGAATTGGGGATGGGGGGCTCCCAAGATTGAAAAGACATGGTAGGCAGAAGGTCTGGATGTCAATCAGGAGGACAAAGTTTAGGAGTTGATGTTACAGCAATGATGGGAAGGAACTACAGAACCTTAATTTCTTAGCATTTATAATGTTGCCATAAGTCAGCAGGTGACTTGAAGGCACCTGCTGACTTATGAGCCTGTCTGGTGTAATGTTTTGAGTGTTGCACAATGACTCTAGAGATCAAGGTTGAAGTCCCCACTCTGGCAAAAAAAACACCCACTGTCACATTCTCTCAGCTTCAGAGGGAAGCAAAGAAAACTTTTAAGTCAGGAAAGATTTAAAGGCACCCAACAGCAATGTGCAAGATGGTTTTCTTGCAGACATGCCCTTATATCCTATGAAAGTAAAAACGATTAATGGATATAAGAAAGTACAACCCTGGTTTGGCAATTTTGGGCATTGAAAGTGGAAGATTTCAACTGACCTATTTTCCTTGGTTTACACAGTTTGATGGAAAAACAGTATAACTCTCTAGCCTTGGCTCCCAGAACTGCCAAACACATAGGGATATTAAAAGGATGTCATCCAAGTCAAGAGCCACCCATCCTAGGTTGTATTTGAGTTGTAAGGACCAGTCTAAACATTTTGTGTCTGAGGTAGAGGAAGAAATGGCCTACTAAGGTCTCTTCCACACAGCTGTATAAAATCCACATTGAATTGGGTTATATGGCAGTGTGGATTCAGATAACCTAGTTCAAGGCTTATATTGTGGATTATCTGCCTTGATATTCTCGATCATATGGCTATGTGGAAGGACCCTAAGTTATCTGAACACCTGATTTGTAAAGTCTCACAAGGACCTGTCCAAGGTGCTAAAAGGACAATTATTATTGCCACGGCTTAAATGAAAAATTGATGTTATTTCACAAGTATCCTAAAACAGGTCTCTGAGGCCCCTTCTACACAGCCATATAAAATCCAGATTATCTGGTTTGAACTGGATTATATGGCAGTGTAGACTCGGATAAAAACAGTTCAAAGCAGATAATGTGGATTATCTGCTTTGATAATCTGGATTATATGATAGCGTAGAAGGGGCCTTGATGTACCCAACAGAGAGGAAACAACAAAGTGGGACTTATTCTTCATAATTTTTTTAGCATTTCAGAAACTCTTGAACTTTTCAGTCCCATATTTGAGTAATCCAAATGCCGTCCTTCATCCCTGGTTTTAGGTCATCTGAGGAGTGCTCCACACTTTGTATAGTAAATGAATTTGTTGCTTTATGACCATATAGCAAACATCTTGGCATGCTAAGCCAGGTGGATATCTGTAAATGTACATTTACTTATCCATTTTATAGTTTTCTCAGACACGTAAGAGTTATTTGACTGTTAACACACAGCTATAAAAATGCATCAGTGACAAGAGCACATAGCTGCTGTTGATCATATCAGCTTTTGGCATGCAAGTCCTCCTTTATCCTGACAGCAGGAAGAACCCTAGTCACATGGAATCAGCTTAGAGAGAAATTGTGTTTGTAAAGCTGAGTCTGTATCCACACTGCAGATGTATAGACGTTTGACACCATATTAACTACCATGGCTCAGTGCTATGGAATTCTGGGATTTGTAATTTTGTGAGATATTTAGCCTTCTCTGATGGAATGGAAGTTTCTGGTGTGCATCATGGACAAAAATGTGCATTGTCGACTTGAGTAATTAAAGTTCTCTACCTTGGAAAGGAACTGGGTTGCTGTGAGTTTTTCAGTCTAGGAGAGAATGCTGCTGGAACATGGGGCCCTTACACACAGTCATAAAACCCGGAATATCAAGGCAGAATGACCCACAATATCTGCTTTGAACTGGAATATCTGAGTCCACACTGGCATATATCCCAGGTCAAAGCTGATAATGTGGCATTTTATTCAGCTGTGTGGAAGGGGCCCTAGTCATATAGCCCGAATAACTTACAGCAACCCTGTTATTCTAGCCATGAAAGCCTTCAACACCACAAGAAAGGAACTGTTCACACAGGACAGGGGCAGATGGATCACAAAAGAAGTACTTTTCTGTTGCTAATGGAGTTTAAATTTTTTTACTTGTATTTTATTGCTTTTTGTCCTTAGTCCTCACATGGCCAATAAGGGGGAGTAACCTCTGGTAGTATTGAAATTTCTCAACACCACCTTAATTGACTTTCATTTCATCTTCATCATTTTCTCCAATATGATTTTAAAGATCTTTACCAGATGAAGAAGCCAGTAAAGCTGTGAAAGCTTGCCAAATGTATTTTATGCTTTGGAGCTGACTTGATAAAGGATCACTGTTTGTGATATGGTATTTTGTGATATGTCCAAATGCATCTCTCTCTATGAGCCGACAAGAGCTTTAAGATTGTCTGGGAAGGCCCTGTTCTCCATCCCAACTGCTTCACAAGCACGGTTGGTGGAGACGAGAGACAGGGCCTCCTCAGTGGTGGCCCCTCGGCTGTGGAACTCCCTTCCTAATGACATCTGGCAGGCCCCATCCCTCCTGGTTATTAGGGGGGGGGTGGACTTAAGACCTGGCTTTTTATGCAGGCATTTGGTGAATAGGAAACTATGGAATGAGACTTTAACAGTTTGAGTAATGGACTATGGATTTTGGAAAACAATTATGGATATGAGATCATGACTCAACTTTTTAGATGGTTTTTAATCTGATTGCTTTATATGTATTTTGATTGCTTATATGTTTAGATTCTTTTATATTTTGATAAGGTGTGTTTTATTGTTTATCTGTACAGTATTAAATTTTGGGCAAATTTGTAATCTGCCTTGAGTTCCTTCTGGTGTCGAGAAAGGCAGGGCAAGTTACAGTAAGTTGTAACAGGATCTAGTATGTGTGTGTGTGTTAAAGAAAACCTTATGCTGTTAATTATTATGTGCAGCTGCTAATGTAGGTCAACTAGTAAGTTTGGACCAAACCTGGTGGGGTATAATTGTATGGTTTTTAGAATACAGTTCAGCTTTTGCTCTGAGGAGCTTTTGCTCAGGCATTTTGCTCAACCATTTCTACTGCTCTCTCATTTGGATGAAGATGAAGAAGCCTTATTCTGTATCGCTTACAAAGACTATGTAAGTTTGTTGCACTGTTTGTAACATTGCACGTTTATGTTTTAACTCTGCTGGTAAGAGTAAAGTTTTTCTGTTCTTTTTCCTCTTGCTTGGGTACATTGTTATTGTGTCTTCTGCATTGGACTTGACTAAAATACACTTAGTGCAACAGAAATGAAGTAAATAAATAAATATTGTTTTCTGCACAGTCAACATAGCCATTTTCCCAGATCCATGCCTTTAAAACATGCAGGGTGTAAGAGGTGAGAATTACTTGTCTACTTTCTCATTTTCTCTCTATTTTGCTGTTCATACTCAGTGAAGGATTATGGACCCATATCCTCTTTTTACCTTTGGTTGGTGTAGGCAGGTATTCTTTCTTAACTACTATGGCATTTTTGCTACAGATATGCTGCTACAACCTGCTACTGAAAGTCTGTGTTTTTTCAGCCATCTTTCACCATCCTGCAATGTTCATGCTGCTACAAAACCATTCAGTTATACAGGGATGAGAAGAAAGAGGGGCTAGATGGATGTTGCCTTACTTCTGTATTTCAGAAGAGGACTCAATTATTTTATTGTTCTACTATTATCTAATATAATGCTTATTGGGTTTGCTAATATGGACTAATTTTCCCCCAATTATGCTAGGGATCAGTACCATGCTGGTACCCATGGGTCACAATTGTCTCTTTCTTTCCTGGAAACTCACGGCAGACTGACAGCTGATGGCTCACAAATGGGCACTGGTCCACAGGACTTACTTTGACTAGCACTGATCTAATATTCTTGGTACTCTGTCTCTTGTCTGGTGGGTCCAGATACTAAAGACAATAATGTATAAGTGTGAGGACATGTAGCCATCCTATGATCGCCTTATCCTTGAATTTTTAAAATCTTATTTTAACGCGGTCAGTACTGGTAACTATCACTATAACCTGTGATGGCAAATATTTGCAGTATAATATTGTACAGTATGCCCCTATGTATCTGAACTTTGTGTGGATACATGAAACCATAGATAATACTGAAAACTTTTGAAACTAAGGATTTATGGCTCTAGAATACTATAGAGTCATGCTGGAGGACCTAGAAAATGCTCAGAGAAGGCATATTTTGTCAGCTGTTGATAAATGAAATGCCAGAATCCACAATTATGGGGATTGTGTTGTATTTTAATTTTGAGTATTGAAATTATGTGTTTTATTTTGTAGCTACTGCTTTGAAATCTTCAAATCTGCATAGTTTATATATACTACTAATAAAATAAATAATATTCGGGTCTAAGTAGTGTGCAAATGCAAATACTAAAATAAATAATGAAGCAGAATGAACAACCTCGTCTAGTGGCAGATGCTGGTGTAGGTGGTGAAAAGCAGTGATGAAAAGGTATTGGACAGGACCGCATGTGTCACACAGATTGCTCTCGTAAGGCCTCAGATACAGAAGGACACCGTTTTGTATCAAGAAGGGCAGAAGAGACACATTAGTCATTTTAGGCCCCTTCTACAGTGCCATATAAAATCCAGATTATCTGCTTTGAACTGGATTATGTGGCAGTGTAGATTTATATAATCTAGTTAAAAGCAGATAATCTGGATGATCTGCATCAATATCCGGATTATATGGCAGTGTAGAAGGGGCTGTACTCACTTTCTGTATGGGAAGTGGGATTGGTAGCACTATCTTGTCCTTTCTTTAAGAAACAAGATGTTTTGGGCAGATAAACTGCAAGTAATTCAGCACTGGAAGACATTCTGACCAAGTCAGAGGATATATCACTGCACGCTAGGATTACTGCAGCTTGAGTACCACTTTAATTGTCATGGTTCAATGCTAGGGAATCACGAGAGTTGTAACTTTACAAGGTTCTTACCCTTCTCTGCCAAAGGTTGCTAGTGCCATACCAAACTACAGCTCCCAAACTGCATTAATTCTACAGTGTAGATGCACCCAGAGATGCGCATACGGCCACTTCAAAGATTCCAGGAGCCATCCTTGGTACTTCCTTGGGGTGCATCTAAACCAGGCATGGGCAAACTTTGACCCTCCAGGAGTTCTGGACTTCAACTCCCACAATTCCTAACAGCCGGTCCACGACATGCAAGTGTGGACAAGAGCAAACCATAGTTCACTGACTACAATGCAGTTTGAGCCCTGCCACATGCACAATGGAGGACCTTTTTATAGCGACACCAGAGGGACTTCAAGTGGCCAGCTACTGCTTGATGGACATTTAGTATAATGCCAACTTTCTAACTTTGTTTGTGTTTTAAATACATTACAACTGTACCATAGAATCATAGAGTTGCAAGAGACCTCGTGGGCCACCCAGTCCAACCCCCTGCCAAGAAGCAGGAAAATCGCATTCAAAGCATATCCTCAATTCGTTTCTGAAACGATAAGTAAATAAATAACCAAACTGGAAATCCCAAGATCCTATGACAGGGCAGTCAGAATGGTGTCCACTGCGTTCATTCTCTTGGGTAGATCCACCTCTGGTTGGCAGATCCTGGGTGCTGCAGTCCCCAGGAGCGTGTGGGGTGCCCTTTGCAGCTTGCCCAAGGGCTCCCAAGGAAGAGTGGGGGGAGCAGGCAGGCAGGCAGGCAGGCAGGCAGGGAGGGAGGGAGGCAGGCGCTTCTTTTGCCGGCAGATGGAGCTGCAAAAGGGAGGTGCCACCCTGCCCTTCTTTCCCTGCCTCCTTCCTTCCTTCCTTCCTCGAGGGCTGAGCGAGAGGCGGAGCTGTTCCTTCTTTCCCAGCCAAGTCAGAGCCAAGCAGGGCGAGGGCCTCCGCCGGGAGAGCAGGGACCCGCACCGCCATGGAGGAGTTCCACCCCCATAATGACGAGGTAGCGGCAAGAGCGGCAGTAAGAGCTTTCCTCGCCTTCCTTCCCCCGGGAAAGGTGCAGCCCCCCTCTCCTTTCCTCGATTCCCTCCCAGGGTCCTTCCCGGAGGAGAAGAGAAGGCCATCGAGGCGTTGCCTTTGGTTCCTCGCGCCTCTACACTGGAGCATTCATCCAGTTTGACACCACTTGAGCTGCCAGGGCTCAGTGCGATGCCATACTGGGAGCTGTGGTTTTACAAGGCCTTTCGCTTTCTCTGCCAAAGAGAGCTGGCGCTTTACCAAACTGCAACTCCCAGGATTGCATAGCACTGGGCGAAGGCAATTCAAGTGCTGTCGAACTGCATTCATCCCACAGTGTAGATGCACACACACACAAGACTCACTTTTAAGGCCCTTCCACACAGCCATATAATCCAGAATATCAAGACAGGTAATCCACAATGAAATGGCTTATCTGAGTCCACACTGCCATATAATCCAGTTCAGTGTGCATTTTTTTACAGCTATGTTGAAGTGGCCTTAGGCAGTCTGAAAGGGAGGAACCAAGGCCTGCAAAATGGAGGGTGATACAAACTGTGTGTGTGTGTGTGTGTATATATATATATATATATATATATATATATATATAATGCATTCTAGTTTTAAGGCAGGCTGGTGCCTTGCATCCCCAGATAACCCCAGAGTTGCTCCATTATGTATATATATATTTTTCCTATGACTTCCTTTGACATTTCTGTGTTGTAAAGTGTGGCTGAATGAAATCTGTTGTCGGACTGTGCCTTCGAGTATTTTCTATTTGGAGCAATTTTATCATGGGATTTTTCCTGGCAAGAATTCTTCAGAAGGCTTTGGGGAATTTTTTTAATTGCTTTCATCTCTCTGAAGCTGAGTGAGTGTGACTTGCCCAAGAACGCCCAGGGCACCTTTACACTGTACAATTAACACAGTTTGACACCCCTTCAACTGAGCCAGCTCAGTACTATGGAATCCTGGGAGCTGTAGATTTACAAGGTCTTTAGCTTTCTCTGCCAACGAGATCTGATGCCTCACCAAACTACAACTCCCAGGATTCCATAGCTTTGAGACATGGTGTGAAAGTGGTGTCAGACTGCATTAATTCTACAGTTTAGATGTGCTATAGTGGGTTTCCATAGCGGAGTGTGGATTCCAACCCTGACTTCCAGGGTTCTTGTCCAGCACTCAATCCATGACACCACACTGGCTCTCAATCCTAATGAAATAAGGTACAGTAGAGTCTCGCTTATCCAACATAAACGGGCCAGCAGAACACTAGATAAGTGAAAATGTTGAATAATTAGGAGGGATTAAAGAAAAGCCTATTAAATGTCAAATTAGAAGTCACAACCTTTTGAAAAGTGATGTTCACCAACACTCATGCAAGGCAACTAGGTCTCTCAGCTGTTAAACCGATGTACCTAGGTATGTCTTTGAACTGTTAAGGACAAAGACATGCCAATACACAAAAAACATATATTCATTCAGCAGAGTTTCAGAAGTGTTCTTTTAGTTACCCAAAAAACATCTACTCTCCCTTAAAATATATTTGCCTTTAAATCATGCTCTCAAGAGAAAAAATAAACAGTCTTCTTTAAAAGTAACAGGCTTGTTTACTCACAAAACTTTATGTATACAGCATACAGACACTTTGCTTATGAATCCAGTTACAATAGGATCCGAAGCAGTTTCTCTGTGTAGGTATATGTTTCCTTAGCTTCACTAGTAAATTGTCCAAAGCATCTCTAATGGCTTCTGCCCTCTCTAAGAGTCTAATGGCTTCTATCTCACTGAAGTCTAAAGCAAACACACTTCTCTACATGGCTTCTCAAAGCAAACACTGATCTAAAATGGAGTCTCAGGTCCTGAACATGCCCAGACCTGATCACGTGGTCTGTAGCCTCTCCAACAACAAAGAGGTTAGGTAAAATTGCAAACCAATACACACATACAATACAGCAAGCAATTGTGTACATAACAAACAGATAGTGGAGGCTTGAGAAAGTTGTCATTTCCAACAATCCTATCTAAACTTTAATGGGCTTTTCATGGGATGTACACATGTCATGAGGAATTAATGGCTGGTTTTATATGGGCTAGTTTTAAGAATGTGCAAGGACATTTCTTCAATAGGGTGGCAACCACTTCACATACATATGTGCAAAAGAGAACTAACTCTTTGATTCTGTAACATGTATAAGCTGAATGTCTGTTTTAAAAACTTCGTTTCACAGTCAAATTGGCACAGTGCCTTGCAAGGAAACTAACATCTCTTCCTTTAAGCTGTCTGTCCTCTTGCCGTTTTTGTTTTAGTGCTATAGAGGTATAAAAGAAAAGGGGAGGGATGCAATGTAGTATACTTGGTATAGGCCATGGAGATCATACACTGTGAGGAGCGTCGAGCTGGGTATGTTTAGCCTGCAGAAGAGAAGGCTGAGAGGAGACATGATAGACATGTATAAATATGTGAAAGGATGCCATAAGAAAGAGAGAACAGGCTTGTTTTCTGCTGCCCTGGAGACTAGGACTTGGAGCAATGGGTTGAAACTACAGGAAAGGAGATTCCAGCCGAACATTAGGAAGAACTTCCTGAGCTGTACAGCAGTGGAACTCTCTGCCTCAGAGTGTGGTGGGAGCTCCTTCCTTGAAAGCTTTTAAACAGGAGCTGGATGGCTATCTGTCGGTGTTCTTTGATTGTGCTTTTCCTGCATGGCAAAGGATTAGACTACATGGCTCATGTGATCTCTTCCAACTCTATTATTCTGTGATTCTATGAGTTATGATTGTATGATTTTTAGCATGTAATTAGAGATAGTCTTGCTGCATTTCAGAGAGGTTTTGGCTTGCTTAATATAAAACTTGGTTTGTATGAATGTGAGGTAGGATCTTGGTATGACTCTAGTTTTTGAAGCTACATTATATGGTCAGTGTAGACACATATAAGTTAAACTGCATTCTATGAGTCTACACTCACCATATAATGCAGCTTCAAACTGCATTATATAACAGTGTAGATGGGGCCGATATCTCAGAGTTTCAGAGTTGAGTTTTCAGATTCCCTCACCAGCATCCATGTTTGCTGAAGTCACATCATATACAATGGCATAGCAAAATGGTATCCCTTCTATGAAATGGTGAAATCCAGTGTTGTTGTTGTTGTTGTTGTTTTTTTTTGAGACGGGGTGGTGGTGGTGGTCTTACTTTCAAACTGTGAATGGTTGAATCTATGGGTACAGCATCCATGGAGGCTACATAGCTTGAACTGTCTTGATTCATTCATTTATTGTATACATTGTTATGGAATCAAATTGTTGATATCAGATATTTAAATAAAGAACTGTTAATTGTTATTTTTTCAGATGACTTTTAACACTGAAGAAGCCCACAATATTATTAAAGATGTAAGTGATTTATTTCAGTATATTTTATTTTATGTATTTTGCTGATACAATGCATTTCTTAGATGCCCCATGTTTTCATATTTAAAGTACCCCTGAAAGACTTGGGCTATAGTCCTGTGTAGTTATTTGGAATCAATGGAATATACTGCTGAAAAGATCTGCATTCACCGGCAAGAGGTTCCTTTGGACTGTAATGGCTTCTGTTCACAGACGATCAACTCTGGATAAAAACAGAATCAATAACTTAATAAATTTCCAGAGAAGACTAACATGGTACCATTACATTCCCTATTGATGGAATTTTCTGGGAGTATCCAGACAAAATTGCTGTCCATTTGTAGCCACCCTATATTTCCCCATCATTACTTCTGCTGTTCTGACTTAAATACAAATCCAACTTAAGAACAAAACTATAAAACCTATCTGCTACATAACTTGGCGACTGTATTTAAATGAGTCTGAAGCTGCAGTTCTGCGATATTCAGGAACTTAAGCCTCTTTGAAATTAATAGGATTTGCTTCTGCAGCTGTTTAAGCGTTGGACTGAAGGTACGTGATATGGCAGTAGTCTTAGCATAGTAATTGCCCAGCTAAAACGAAAGGAGCTCTCTGTCTGAATATCATTGTAGCAACAACATGGGATTGTAGCACTAACACAATATATCCACCTCAGTCAGACATTTTAGTTGTGTTATAGCAACTCATTCGTTCCATTGTCTGATTGTATTCTACAACCCTGACTGCTGCTTGCTGCTTAAAAATTATATCACCAAAATAGGAGCTGTGTAGAAAGTTCATGATTAGTGAACTGCGTTTCCTAATTTTGGAGTTTCAAACTAAGAAGAGGGGCAAATAAGAACTTCTCTCTGACATTGAAATTGTCTTGCAAACCATTGTGAGGCTGAATTAGAATTCTTCTACTAATATTCATGCATTGTTTATTGATCTTTTAAAAAGTTTAATCTTCATTTTCAGTGTATTGAAGGTGTTCTGGGCAAGGCAGATTACAATCATGACAACGTCAATCAATGGACTGCAGCCATTGTGGAACAGTCTTTGTCGCATTTGGTGAAACTGGGGAAAACGTACAAATATATTGGTAAGAATAAGTGTGCACATTAATTATATTATTTTTGCTAAGAATATATAAGAGATTGATGATAGAAATTATTGCCAGGCTTTCTTTCACATTCTGCATTGGAGTTTCATGTTGTTTATCAGGACAGAAAACAAATTTGATCTGATCTGTTTGTTGTTGTTCTCTGTGCTAAATGGGATACAGTGGATAAGTTGTATCCATCACAAATAGGACTTAGGTTTTAGTTTCTCATAGCATCAATGGATATACTTCAGTATATTTCAAAGTAATGAAAATAATTCAATCTCTGGGGAAAAAAAGGATTTAAATTCTCAATAGCAGGGTCCATTCTACAAAATGTTTTAAAGAAGCTATATAACCCCAGAGTTATTAGCTAAAATGAACAAAACCCACCGAGCTGTAAAAAACAGAAAGGTACTTTTTTCATGTCTGGTGGTCATGTCCAATAGTATCCCAATTTTGGAAAGGGGTAATTATGGAAGCAAATAACATACTCACCAATAAGGTCAAGAAAAACTTATCAATGTGCCTACTAGGGGCAGTACCATACTGTGGTTAAGTCCGCTTTGACCCAGGTTTAAGAAATCCCGGTCGGGGTTTGCACAGCAGATGTAGTCTGCACAGCAACCACAAAAGCCTGCGCTTTTGCGACTGGGTGTCCAGATGTGTTCCTGGAACTTTCCAGGAGAACACTCAGATAACCTAACCCCTTCCCCAAAAACCTCTTTTAAAAATAAAAATACTTACCTGGCCTCCTTTAGCGTGGTGCTGGAGCTCTCCTGGCGCATAGGAATGACGCGCCAGGAGAAGGGGGACAGAAGCAAAGTTCCTCCTCCCTCCCTTTCTCCTGGCACATCATTCCTACACACCAGGAGAGCTCTGGGACCATGCTAATGAAGGCCAGGTAAGTTCTTTTAACAGTGTTTTGGGGGGGGGGGGGTTGAGGAGGGGGTTAGAGCCCTCTCATGTTTCCTGGGTCTGATTCAGTCTGAAAAATGCAAGACAGCTGTACTGACGGTCCCTTCAGAAGTCCCAGAACTTCTGAAAAGGTAGTCCACACTCTGCCAACAGCAGGAAAGATGCAAATCTTTCAAGAATACCTGTTTCTTTCTTTCTAACAAATAGTCTCAACACAAAGCAGAGTTTTCCTCAATTAATGGAACATGTCTGTAATTTTCAAGTGTTGAAAAGAAGGGGTGTCATAAAGCGAGGTTTCCAAAGATGGGGAAAAACTGTGTATTTTTTCATAGCGGGAAGTGGCTATGAAAGAGTTAAAGAAAATTGCCTCTGCATGCCTTCAGTAACAAAAACATTGCAAAGTTGGCCCCCTTCCTCCTTTTAAAGTCAAAAATGTTTCCAATCGAGTGAGCAACCTTCTGAGATCCAAGTGAAGCACTCATGGCCCTAGATACCAAAATGATGACCAGTCCAGTCTAGAATATCTGGGTCGCTAAAAGCCACATTCAGCGGCTTTCTAAAAAGAAGGAAAACTTAAAGTTTACAGTCAGAATATCTTCACATAATCCAACAGAAACAGCTGTTCAGAAAAGGTATCTGTTCTTCATCCATGCTCTGGTAAGGGGGTGATCCAAAGTTTCATTAGAAGAGGGTGTAAGTCTAATGATGTATCTGCTTCTTCCTTCATTAATGAACACTTGCTGCATTTTCATCTTTCAGTGACCTGTGCAGTGATGCAGAAATGTGGAGCTGGTCTGCATACAGCAAGTTCATGTTTTTGGGATACTACAACTGATGGTAAATGCCTTACTCACAGAATCATTTTTTTAATATTATAAAAAGCAAGATCTTCTAGTTGATTATTGTTAAACATTACAGATGTTCCACTGTAAATAAAGTACAAAGACATTTCACAATTGCCAATACAAATTGTACAATACTCAGATGTTAGTTGTTTGGTACAGTATTGTATATATTTACATGAACTCAAGGAGGTGTGCCTTCTTTTTGAAATAAAGGCTGACATCTAGTTCAGCAGTTATGCAAATTGGATTTGGAGAATTGAACCCTAGGCTCTAGAGTCGTAGCCCAACATACAAACCACTGCTTCTTTCTGACTCACAATTTAATTTGACATGTTTAAATCCAATAGGGAATCATTGTTTCTGGCTGAGCTTGAATAGAATCATAGAATCATAGAGTTGAAAGAGACCTCATGGGCCATCCAGTCCAACCCCCTGCCAAGAAGCAGGAAAATTGCATTCAAAGCACCCCCGACAGATGGCCATCCAGCCTCTTTTTAGAAGCCTTCAAAGAAAGAGCCTCCACCACACTCCGGGGCAGAGAGTTTCATTGCTGAAGGGCTCTCGCAGTTAGGAAGTTCTTCCTAATGTTCAGATGGAATCTCCTTTCCTGTAGTTTGAAGCCATTATTCCACATCCTAGTCTCCAGGGAAGCAGAAAACAAGCTTGCTCCCTCTTCCCTATGGCTTCCCCTCCCATATTTACACATGGCTATAATCATGACTCCTCTCAGCCTTTTCTTCTGCAGGCTAAACATGCCAATCTCTTTAAGCCACTCCTCATAGAGCTTGTACTTCAGACCCTTGATCATTTTAGTCACCCTCCTCTGGACACATTCCAGTTTGTCAACATCTCTCTTCAATTGTGGTGCCCAGAACTGGACACCGTGTGATTCCAGGTGTGGTCTGACCAAGACAGAATAGAGGGGTAGTGTGAATCCCTGGATCTAGACACTAGACTCCTGTATATGCAAACCAAAATCCCATTGGCTCATGTTTAACTTGTTGTCCATGACACCAAAAATAATCATTGCATACTCTGTGAAATCCATCTAATTCTAAATCACAGTGAAGGATAATAGGCTGTTCTAGATAGGCAGGGCTTGTTAATTAGGGAAGAAATTGTTGAAAGTGCTGAAGGTGTTTGTTTTTTTTTTTTTACTACACTTTGCTTGTTGATATGTCTGTTCCCACTCTATATTTGTAGATGTAAAAGAGAGAAAAAATATTTTCTCTAAGCAAGTGACCGTTGTGCAAGTTCTACAAGAAAATGTACTATTCCTGGCATCAAATCAAAATAAGAATGTTTCCTTCAGTATTCATGCTCAATACATTGAACGTTCAAAATTGGCATAATTTGATATGAGACTAGTTGAGTACTCATCTTACTGCGTGGTCATAATACAGTATTGGATTACGCACAAAGCTTTCAGTGTCAGTGGTATTGTTTATTTTATTTTTAGGTGTTTTCAGGATGCTTTCCTAGGACAAAATCAAACTCAAGGCAGCCTACAATTAAGAATTCTGGCAGAACAACAATTAAAACTAAAAGTAAAACAAAGGATATTGGTGCCCTCTCAAGTACCTGCATGGTAGGAGTCACTGGCACAAAGACAAAAGGTACTGTTTGGGGTGGATGCCACCGGATTTTCAATGGAGCATGAAATACTTAGAGAGGATAGTGGTTTTGAGAGAGCAACCCCTCCAAGTTATTAGTAGAAACTATCATTGACAAGTAAAGGCATTATATAGGGAATCCCTTAACTACATTATAAGAGTGGACATAACAACAACAACGACAGAAAAAACAACAATAATAAATAATCTTTATTTATACCCCACCACCATTTCCTCAAAGGGGACACTCAGGGTGGCTAACATGAGGCCAAGCCCAGAATTACAGTACAACAAAATAAAATAAAATACAAACAGCAAGTAATAACATCAATATAAAATACATAAAATAATAGAAAATGAGATAAACGTATGCAAAATGAAGAAATAAAATAAAAGCATGGTGGGCAGGCCAAATGCACAGAATAAGATTGATAAATCCTGGGTGAGATAAGTAAATGTAGAAGTATGTGTCTGTGGGGGACTAGTTCACATGGCCATAGTCAGACCCAGAATCTATGTTGATGAGCAGATGCTATTTTTTATGCTTTCAATAATAATTTAATAACTGTTATTGTTCTTAAAATACTTTTCTGAATCCCAGCCCCTAGTGCCCAGCTGTGCATGTCTCGGACTATTATCAAGATTCATGTTAAAAGAAAAGTTCAAGTAGGTTTAACTCCATAATCTAGTGGTTTGGACTTCTCTTTGAGAGCGAGGGTTAAGCAGAAGGTGGGTGGCCATCTGTCAGAAGTGCTTTGATTGTGTGTTACTACATGGCAGGGGGTTGGTCTGGATGGCCCTTGTGCTCCCTTCCAACTTTATTCTATGACTTCAACCCTTGAGACCAGTATTCGGTTCCCTGCTCAACCATGGAATCCAACTGGGTGACCGTGGGTAGGTCACATTCTCTCAGCTTCAGAGAAAGGAAAAGGCAAATCACTTCTGAACAAATCTTGCCAAGAAATTCTCATGAAAGGGTCACTGTTAATCAAAAATTAATTGAAGGCACAAAACAACAAATATACATCAGTTTGTAACCCACATTGGTTGCCATATTAGATTGGAAACAGATATAGGTAAAGTCATTAAGTGTAGTCAAGCCCCACTCTGGGGTATGGTGCTCATCTCCATTTCTAAGCTGAAGAGCCAGCATTGTCCCTAGACTCTTCCAAGGTCATGTGGCCAGCATGACTGCATGGAGGGCAGTTACCTTCTTGCAGAAGTGGTACCTATTGATCTATTCACATTTGTATGCTAGGTTGGCAGAAACTGGGGCTAACAGCAGAAGCTCACCCCGCTCTGCAGATTCGAACTTCCAACCTTACTGTCAGCAAGTTCTGCAGCTCAGTGGTTTAACCTGCTGCACCACTGCAGCAAACAGACACAAAATAGGCAAATAACAATAGCTCATGCAGGCTACAAGTAAATGGAGTCAAATAAGAACAGAATTACAGGTCTGACTAAAATTTCAAGAAGCTGTTATTTACAGTTACTATACAGCCTTGTAATATTAAATATTGTTTGTGATCATTTGTTTCAGGGTGTTTTGTTTTTCATGTGAGCTCTTATATTTGAGACTTTTTCCTCTTGTATGTGTTGGTGCAAAATTAACATATGGGATTATATCAGGGGGGACATTCTTTCAGGTGAATTCTGGTCAGCCGGTACTGTTTGAAGAATTAAAAGAGAGCCTGACCATTCTTTCCTTCAAAATTTGTTACAGGCTCCTGCACAGTCAGATGGGAAAACCGAACCATGAACTGCGTTGTCAACGTCTTTGCCGTCGCCATTCTCCTGTAGCAAGAATTCAGAAGCAACACCAAGTTATGCCAAAGCCTTTAATATATACTCAGAGAAATGCCGTAAGAATGATTAGATAACATTATATATATCAGCTATAGAAAGAAGCAAGAAATGGGCTTTTAAAAAGTTTCTGCACAAAGTGTATGTATTATAGCAAAGCATAATCTTTCAGTTTAGCCACCTATAGTTTGCTTTCAAAAGCAGTTGTTAGTCTCCTCTATATCCATTCTAATATATTGAAAGCTACTCTTTTCCTCCTATTTACCTAGAAAGGGTGATAAAGCCATTAATCAGTATGAATGTGTTTGCACCAAATTGTCACTGGCACTTCACACATAGTGGCTCAGTGGGTTAAATCCTTGTGCCGGCAGGACTGCTGACCAAAAAGTCAGCGGTTCAAATCCAGGGAGCGGGGTGAGCTCCTGTCTGTCAGCTCCAGCTTCTCATACAGGGACATGAGAGAAGCCTCCCACAGGATGGTAAAACATCCAGGTGTCCTCTGGGCAACATCCTTGCAGACGGCCAATTCTCTCACACCAGAAGCATTTTGCAGTTTTTCAAGTCACTCCTGACAGGAAAAAAAACAAAAACATAGGGAATAAAGAGAAAAGTAGTAAATGGAAGAAAGCATTCTTTATATATACAGCTTTCTAGATTTGCTGGGGTAAGAGATACAGAAGTTTTAAAAAAACTTTTTAATCAAATCTACAAATAATCAAATCCACAAATTTGGAGGACGGAATGTCTCATTTAAACAGCTGGTGATACATTTTGTAATCATAATGAGAAATGAATGCTGTATTACAACAGCATTCATATTGTGGCCAGCTGAGGCATTCAATAGTGCATCTAATCCAATGAAACCATACAACCTTATCCCAGCATGTATGGTTTCAGTAGTTTCTCAGTATACTAGAGGATGTGAAAAAAAATCTCTGCTGGTTACAAATTGTAAAATTAATGATTTGAAACGAATTAAGCTCATTGAAGAGTTCCTGTAGCATACTGTATCAAATACAGAAGAAAACTGCAAAATGTATTGTTGAAAGCTTTCATGGCTGGAATCACTGGGTTGTTTTTCAGGCTATGTGGCCAAGTTCTAGAAGCATTCTCTCCTGACATTCTGCCTGCATCTGTTGCAGGCATCCTCACAACCTCTAAGGATGCCTGCCATAGATGCAGGTGAAACATCAGGAGAGAATGCTTCTAGAACATGGTCACATAGTCCAAAAAACCTACAACAACTCAAAACTGCAGAAGTTTTAAGTCTGGTTTCTGCTTTATGGGAGCAACATATCTTGATGCCAGAGTATCTTCTTATACAGTATACAAATGTTCTAAAAATGAATGTTATTATGCTGGAATTGGTTGCTATTAGTGCTTAGTTTTTTTATATATTGCAAAACTTGTGAAGATATATTCATCAAATTAAAGAAAGCGGTGGGTAACTTTTGGTTCAGTGATTGGCAGCTCAATCCTAGAACTTGGTGCAATAACACATTTTACGTAATGGATTTTTATTGTGTCACTGCTAAATCACAAACCAAGAAAGTATGATATTATGGTTCCTTTACAAGCAGATATATATACATAGATGTTTCAAATTGGGATATAAACCTTGGGGAAAGTTTGCCTATTATCTATCTATCTACAAGGAAGGCAGTTCTGATTATGGGCTAGCTTTTGACTTTTGTGATGTTGTAGTTGGTGTGTGCCTTAGAGATTCAAAACTTTATAAAAGAATTCTTCCTAACTCTCATTGGGAATGCACATTTCTTTTAAAAATCTAATCTATATCTATCTGAAGGGGCACTTATTCAGATATGAGCAATGACTGCAGTGATTTTTTTTGCACTTAGTTGAAATCCTTCAGTAGGTTTTATTTTAATTTAATATGAATTACATGAAACCTCCCATTTATTGAAGGTTTCAATATGTATTGTTAATTAAAACAAGTTTACAGACATAGTAATAAATTCCACTGAACACAATAGTTCATATTTCTGAATAACCATGCAAAGAAACAGCAGTATGTATTCTTCCAAGACATAGAAATATCATGAAATTTCAGTCAGATTGGTAATCATATTAACTTGAAAAAGTACTTAAGGAAATACAATCATATTTGAAAGCATGTTTAGATTTCATAGTCTTGTTTTGCCAAAAGTTCATACAAAGACATTGTATTCATTTGTAGTCATTTGTGTTGCTTGTCACGAGAACTTGAAATTTCTACAATTGCATTTTGCCCTTTTACAACCGTTAAGATTGATTTTAAAAACTTCCTAAAGGTTATTCTGAGCTGTGTGTGTGTGTGTATATACATACACACACACGCACGCATATATACGCACGCACGCACACACACACACACACATGAATAAGTGTCCAGAGGAGGGCGATAAAAATGATCAAGGGTCTGGAGAACAAGCCCTATGAGGAACAGCTGGGCATGTTTAGCCTGAAAAACAAGGTTGAGAGAAGACATGATAGCCATGTAAAAATATGTGAGGATAAGTCATAGGGAGGACGGAGTAGGCTTGTTTTCTGCTGCCCTGGGGACTAGGACAATGGTTTCAAACTACAAGAAAGGAGATTCCATCTGAACATTAGGAAGAGCTTCCTGACTGTGAGAGCTGTTCAGCAGTGGAACTCTCTGCCCCGAAGTGTGGTGGAGGCTCCTTCTTTGGAGGCTTTTAAACAGAGGCTGGATGGCCATCTGTTGGGAATGCTTTGAATGTGATTTTCCTGCTTCTTGGCAGGGGTTTGGACTGGATGGCCCACGAGTTCTCTTCCAACTCTATGAGTATGAAATATTGTTCATTGTAACTGATTTGCTTTGATTTACTTTATTATTATAATACTTGAAACACCAAAAGTTTTATTGCTTTTGTAATTAAATTCTATTAACCAAATAGGAAGTATATTCCAAATAGTAATACTATAATTACATTTCTGTGTTCCTGAAATGAATATACATATCTGCAACAGGAGAACTGGAATTGTTCCATAAAAAGTTTTATTAGCTCTGGGTTTAGATTTTTTTCTTTTTTTTCTTGGTGTAAACTATTTTCATTTTTTAAAAGAAGCAACAAAAGACAATCTTGGGATGGAACATTTTATGACTGCAAGGGATTGAATTGAATATTTACATGGAGGAGAGACTCAGAGAAATGTAATTTTCAGAGGTGTTGACTAGTGAAAGCTATCACCAGAAAGTATAGGCAAAGGTACAGTCTCTTTTTATTTGCTAAACCTTTGTTGCCTAATTGAAAGTAGCTGTTTTTATTAGCCATTGTACTTCAGGTTTCTACAATATACTTGAAGAAACATAATGCTGAAATATGTAAGCTTGAAAATATGCCACTGTGGCAAGATTGCACTAGACATTATGCTGATATTTATTTTAAAAGAGCTAAAGTTTGTTTTTACTTTTAAAGAAAAGTCTGCCTTAGCTGTACTTTATGCCTTTTGTATAAATTAAAAGAATTACTGCTGGATTTTCTGTGGGTGTTTTTACTTGTCATTTATTTGCTAATTTTCTTTTTAGTCAAGCGTTTCTCATGATCCCTCCCTATTCATACAGCTCTTTAATATACTTCCATGAGGATAGAAAAATTGGAGCACAGTCCTCCAGGAGGAAGTCTTGTACAATTTTCTCACTGAAATATGATTGTTGTGAGATCACTACTGAACCACAAAAGAGGTCCCATTCGTTGTTGACCAGTTTCAACAGAAAAAAATGTCCCAGTGAATTGTAACCTATATATGGAGTTTGTTTACAAAAGATACCAAATCCAAAATAATTGAAAAATAAGTTATAGGTAGGAGCACATTGATTGGCCGGAGTAGAATATTATATACAGATCAAAACTATCAACATGTATCAAATCACCTTGGTACAGGCGGCTTGGAAAATTGTATTTTATAGCAAAAGAACACGTTGTTGTTATTTCTGTATCAAATTCTTTTCAATTCCCATAAAAGTTGTTCAGATTGATTTGGCACCTTTTGGAAACAAGCTGCACATATGTTTAAGCCATATGTTTTATATATTAATTTATTTCAGAAGTGTGTCACTCACTTCCATCCTTTTCTGAAATAGTTATTTTTCCCTGTTCCATCAAAAGTGGAGCTATAATAAAATGAACCAAACCAGGAAGTATGAACATTGGAGGAAGAATTCAAGATACTGATATTACCTGACTTGAAACAACAGCTAAAGAAAGTAAAGGAAGAAAATGAAAAGGTACCTGTAAACCTTTACAGCTGAGTATCAAAAAAGCAAAAATAAAAACCACAGATGACCTGATAATTCTCTATTACACAATGAATATAATGAATTCCTTGAAGATTTCCGATACCTTGATTCAATCATTAATCAGAATGGAGACTGCAGTCAAGAAATAGTCTAGGATTTACAATTACTACTACTACTATTACTACTACTACTATTTTTCTCTCCACAAGGAAACTCAAAGTGGCTAAGTGTAGCTATAAAGGAACTAGACTCAATCTTCCAGATGTAAAGCTATAATATGAATATCAGGATTGTCCATATCATTATATTTCCAACTAGCTTGGGGGCCCAGTGTTGCTCAGGTAATTAGAAGAAGTCTTTTTTAAAAAAATTGTAATTTTCAAATGGGCAGATTTACATAAAATGGGGATGATTACATTTATGGGAAGTTGTGGGAAGAGGGAGGAAGGCTGTAAATTGAGGAATGGTAAGGAGGGAGGGAAGGTCTGGAAAGTTGTAATGTGGTAAAGAAGAAGTCATTTTTTACTTTACAAAATGCATAAGGTTGTAGGTGAACTGCAATTCACATCATGCCAGGTTAACCCCCTGAAACTCCATCAGTGCTTAAAGTTTGTTATGTTGGGAAAGTTTCATGATGCATCATAGGTGGGGTTCAGTGTGCTCTCTGGCTGCAGGATGAACTACAGCTCCCACCATGGTGGGTCAGTCCCCTCAAAGCCCTCATGGGGGTTCTGTGTGCCAAGTTGCGTCCAGGTCCATCATCGGTGGAGGTTATAGTTTCTCAAGGCCAATTCCAACCCAAATCTACCAGTATTCAAAATTAGGCATATTTGGTATGAGTGCTAAATTTGATCCAGATCCATCATTGTTTGAGTTCACAGTGCTCCCTGGATGTAAGCGAACTACAACTCCTATCAATCAGTGACTTCCCCCCAAAGACCTCCTGCATCTTTTTTGTTATGGGAGTTCTGTGTGCTAAATGAGGCCCAGGGCAATCGTTGGTAGTGTCCACAGTTCTCCTTCATTGCAGGTGAACTATAAATCCCAGTACCTATAACAGTTATAAATCAAGGTCAATTCCTTCCAAACCTGGACATGGTTGTTCTGTGTGCCAAATGTGGTCCAGTTCCATTGTCATTGGGGGTTGCAGTGCTGTGTCTTGATGCAAGGTGAACTACAACTTTCATCATGTGGAATAAGTCACCCAAACCCCTCCAGTATGTTTAGCTGCATACAGATTTTCACTTTTATTATGTGTATAGATTTCTATGTATGGTTATGAAAAGCAGACAGTGATCAATGCTGATAGGAGGAGAATCAATCCATGTGGGTACCATGGACCATCAACAAGACAAATAAGTGGGTCCAAGAGCAAGTGAAACCTGAACTGTCCCTAGAAACAAGATGGCTAAATTGAGGCTGGAATTCAAAGACATAGCTGTTAGGCTTGGGCGGTTTCGTTCGTTAATTTCGTAACTTGTTATTAATTCGTATTTAAATTAGCTTACGATCCAATATTGAGCCATGCAGGACTACTGTGAGGAGTAATTAAAAATCGAAACAATTTTTCCAATTTATTTCGTATTGTTTCGTAATTGTTTCGTAATTGGTTCGAAATTGTTTCGTAATTGTTTCGTAATTATTTCCATATGTCTGGTGCAAGTTTTATAGTTGTTGTTTGTTTTATCAGTGATAAAAAATAAATTATCACACCAACAGTCAACAACAGAGGGAGAGGGAAGCTTCAGAAGTTCCCCCTGTCCCATTTGGAGGGTTTTTTAGCATATTGCGCAATCGCGTCCGCCATTAACGAATCGATTCGTAATTTTACGAAATTTCGTATATTTCGAACTTTTTTAAAGGAAAATTTCGGAATTCTTTAAAAAAACGAAACGCAAGCCCCCCCCCCAAAAACGAAATGAGTTTAGAACCAATTTTTTCCGTGGTTACCCAAGCCTAATAGCTGTGTTATTCTGGATCAATATGCAAGGGGATTTTATAGTACCTTTAAGACTGAGAAAATGTTGGTAGCATAAGCTTTAGTAGACTTAAGTCTACTTCATCAGATACATCAGTTTCAAAGGCACTACAGTATTCTTTATAACCTCCCTTTGTAAATGGAGACGGCTATATTTTGGGCATATCATGAAAAGATTTGGCACACTAGAAAAGATAATGATGCTTGGTAAGGTAGATGATCTTGGTAAGGTAGAAACCCACATTATTGGTGGATAGATTCAATTAAAGAAGCCATAGTTTCCACGAATGTGCAATACTTGGAACAGAGCTGTTGACAACAGAGGGACTTGGAGACCTCTTATTAATAGCATGGCCATAAGTCAGCTTGACAGCCGTTGAAAACAATGTATAAATAATAAAAATATCAGTGAAGTGCTTCACAACTTCAGGGATTTCTGGATGAAACAGGTTATCTAGATCAATCTTTCTAATTCCGTGACCCCTAAATATAGTTCCTCATATTGTGGTGACCCCCAACCATAAAATTATTTTTGTTGCTACTTTATAACTGTAATTTTGCCACTGTTGTGAATTGTAATGTAAATATCTGATATGTAGGATGTGTTTTCATTGTTACAAATTGAACATAATTAAAGCCTAGTGATTAATCACAAAAACAATATGGGGGAGTATGGACAACGGATGATGGGATCTACAGTACCATCAATGATTTAGCTCTGACGTTCACAGACTGCTGAGACCCCCAAAAATTATAAATTTGGACCAAACTTGACATACAGAACACCCATGACCAACAGAAAACACTGGAGAGATTTGGGGAAAGTAGACCCAGACATTTGGGAGTTGTACTTGCATTTGCAATCAAAGAGCACTCTGAACTGAACCAACCATAAAATTGAACCACAGTTGGCATACAGAATTCCCATGACCGACAGAAAATATTGGAGAGGTTTAGGGAAAACTTGGCACCTACCTGGCCCAATCCCGGATCCGGCAGGGAGCCCAGCTGGTGGCGAGTGCCGGGCAACCTAGGCCCTGCAGCAGCGTCCAGGCCTGGTATGGAGTCCCTCCCGGCCCACACCTCTGCCAGGCCTGGCAGGCGGTGTGAGCTGGAGCAACCTAGGCCCTGCGGAGAGCCTCTCTCCTGGCTAACACCTCCGCCGGGCCACATGGGCAGCATGATCTGGGCGTGAGGTTTCACACTGGGGCAACTTAGTCCCCATAGCAAAGTCTAGGCCCAGTGTAAAATGTGGCACTTATTGTAGAATATGGGAGGTAAAACATATCTTCACGGGTTTTTGTTTGACCTGTAAGTTTTGATGACTACGGTGGTAAATTAAACTTGGCCAATTGGGTAGAAAGCAACCTTATAGGAAAGTGCTGATTTGGTTCAGTACCAATTTTTTTTTCCTGAAAGGTGATAGCCACGGATATGAACCTCTATTAGGGTCCGTCCAGACAGGACCTTTATTGTGGTAACTCCTGCAGTAAAGGAGGACTATCCAGAATTAATTCGTTACAAATCAGGAAAACCCTGGTTTGTAGCAAATTAACTTGATAGTTAATTTCTGAGGTGGGTGTAGACAGGCCAATGGAAAATCCATGTTTTTTAAACGCAGATTCTCCTGGGATAAAAGCCTGTCTGGATTCGGCATTGATTTATCTTCTCATCAATAATTTGATTAAAAAGAACTTACTATCTACCTGTCTAGTCACCTATCTATAGTGACTTCAAGCATTTCATAGTTTTTAAAGCAAGAAATACTGAAGGTTTGTTTGCCATTATTTTCCTCTAAAATGTTGCCTACAGTCCCGTGTATTCTGTTACAGTTTCCCTTCCAACTCCTCACCAAGCTCAATCTTGTATAGCTTCTAAGGTCAAGTGAGATCTGTTCCCTTCAGAGGGCCCTTCCACACAGCCCTATATCCCAGATTATCAAGGCTGAAAATCTCACATTATCTGATTGTGGACTCAGATAACCCAATTCAAAACAGATATTGTGGGATTTTCTGCCTTGATATTCTGGGATATAGGGC